CTAAGATATATTAATAATTCTTCTTTTTGTTCATATTTATCTGATGCTGCTACATTTAAAATAAATCATTCTAATAACTCAAGTGCTTGTGTTGTATCATCATTATGTTTACTGTTACATAATTCAAGTTTCTTATTAATGCCTAGACGTTGAAAGAAATAACCACCTTGTAAGTTAAAATACTGATTACAGATATATCGAGGTTGGTATTTATAATCAGAATTAATATTACTATAATTCTTAAATGTCAGACAAGTTTTAAGACCCATGCAAGGTGCTTGTACAGTTTGTCCTATTATACATGTAGAATGTTGAAGACAACTACCTCCACGACTAAAAAAATATTTGTTCTTATTACAAAATAAGCATCGGTGATAATTTACACAACTTTTTTAATAGATTGTATACTCTTGAGCTTTGCATCATGAAGTTCAGTTTGATCAAAAATAAAATGTGATCCACATACTCCTAAAGTATATAGTTCATTATCATTTTTGACTGACTCAAATGCTTCACTATCGATTTTTCAGGTATCAAGTAATTGTGCTAAAGGTCATTGTGTTTTTTGCTTAAATTTAGAATATCGTTTTACTTAACTATCAATTACATATAAAAGGATACAAGAAGTTAATGTTTTGGCTTTTTTACGATTATCTAAAAATAATTTAGACCTTCATTGTTTGTTAATTCTGTTACAAATGATGCTGTTTCAGAAAATTCATGTTCTAGATCTTCTTATTTGATTTCACAATCATTATTATTTTTTTTTTATTAGCCAATATTTGAGCCTGTTTAAAAGCAAATTTATCCCATATAAATGGTTGTATTTCAATGCTTTCATTAACTATTGCACCTTCAGATGCAATACTTTTTTCAACGGTTATAGAACTTGTACTATCATCGTAAGTATCATAATCACTATCAGGATCCTTAATATCAAATGCTTCATTCATTCTATAGTTGTTAAAAATTAAAATATCTTCGCTTAATTTTTTGTTTTGGGCTATAAGATTTATAAAAATAAAGATATTAAATAAATTGTAGCAGTATATAGTCTCTTTTTACAATTGCTAAATTACATTGTTATTTTTTTAAATTTTAGAATTCTTATTACTAATAAATTTCCAAAACTTAATAAACCTATATTTATACACATTATTCTGACTATATCAACATCTAATATAATGACATATTAAGTGCTGCTATAATTTACTTTATTATAAAAAATATCAATATTGGTATATCCAAATATTGATATAACCAGAGTAATACATATTTTTTTGGCTTGTTCGCATATTTGTTAACTAATTGTACTGTATATTAAAAACGATTTATTAGAATATACCTAAAAATTTTTACACTTATATAGATATTACTCTAAACTAACTAGTTAATTGATATGTAAT